ATTTGACTATGCATTAATTACATTGAGTTTTATATGCTCAAGAAATAAGGAATTTGAAAGCATATCCACGTTGTTGTAAGATCTAAAATTTCAATCTCTCTTTGTAACACAAGTCAGTATTATATTGATTAACAATTTAATTCATGAATTAAGATTTCAAATGATCTTCATACTTTTATATTTCTCCCTAAACTTTTAATTTTTCTACTCAAGGTCAAGTACCTATCAATTATGTACTTACTTACTTACGCCTGTTACTCCTCGTGAAGGAGCATAGGCCGTTCACGAGCATTCTCCATCCAACCCTGTCCCAAGCAATCCTTTCTAGCTCTTTCCAGCTGTTATTTATCGTTTTCATATCTGCTTCTATTTCCCGACGTAATGTGTTCTTTGGCCTTCCTCTTTTCCGCTTCCCTTCACGATTCCAAGTTGAGGCTTGTCTCGTGATGCAGTTTGACGATTTGCGTAGTGTATGTCCTATCCATTTCCATTGTCTTTTCCTAATTTCTTCTTCAGCTGGAAGTTGGTTTGTTCTCTCCCACAGAAGGCTATTGCTGATGGTATCCGGCAAATGGATGTTGAGTATCTTGCGTAGACAGCTATTTATAAATACTTGTACTTTCTTGATTGTGGTTGTTTTAGTTCTCCAAGTTTCAGCTCCGTACAGTAGAACTTCCTTGATGTTTGTACTGAAGATTCTCACTTTGATATTGGTTGAAAGTTGTTTTGAGTTCCATATGTTCTTCAACTGTTGGAATGCTGTCCTTGCTTTGCTAATCCTCGCCTTTACGTCTGCATCTGAACCTCCCTGTTCATCGATGATGGTTCCCAGGTATGTGAAGGATTCTACATCTTCCAGAGTTTCGCCATCAAGAGTGATTGGATTGCTGTTCTCCGTGTTGTAATTGAGGACCTTGGTTTTTCTTTTGTGTATGCTGAAGCCTACTGATGCAGAGACTGCTGCTACACTGGCTGTCTTTATCAACTATGTAGTATATAAAAAAATGTATTACATTTTCGATGTTTACATTTTGTTTTCTTATTCATTTCCAATCATCATTACTACAATATGATCAGTTTATTTGATTGTGTTCATTATTATTATTATTATTATTATTATTATTATTATTATTATTATTATTATTATTTTAATGCTTTGGACTAAATTCGCCATTCCATATTTTTGTACAATTATGATAGTCAAACATGAAGAATATTTGAGCGAACAATTGTGTTTCAATAACTTCATCATCGGACTCTACAGTTATAAGTCCATACTTATGATATTTTTTACAAAGGCCAAAAATAAGACATGGCATTAATGAATTTGACAATGTTATGTGTTAGAAATGGTGCACGTTTACATCTGTTACGATATATCTATACTTCAAAATTGTATTATTTGCAAGTTAGAAAGGTCATATAATAAAGGTCAGGATGATTTGGAGTAAAGTGTCCAGTCACGATAAGTATAATAGTATTATAGCAAAAATGAAAATGCAAAAAAAACTGTGTGAATAAAATGCATAGTAGGAGAATTTAATCTTGTCAATTGAGATAATAATAATAAGATTGTTGTGTGAATATAATATGTAATAAGAAGGGTGCTATCAAGGTAATTACCATAAATAAATTGGGAATGATGGATGTGAAGACTAAGATGGAGATAATCAAAAATAATGATAATAAGGAAAAAAAATTAACTAAATAAAAAAAGGAAGGGAGTAAGAAGTTTATAATATTCAGTCTAGGTATTCAGTGATCCAGTCGTAAGCCAAGGTAACACAAAGAGGTTGAATATATTTTTTCTGGATACATAAATTTAGTCTTCTGGAGTTGATCCAAATATTATAATTATGCACTTATAACTGTAGAGTCTGATGATTAAGTTATTGAAACACACAACTGTTCTTCATTTTTGAATATTCTATGGGGATTTTTAAACTGTTGAAATTCTGATAGTAACCCTCAACAACAAAAATATATTAATTAAATTTTAGGAGAAAAAAAGTTATAAATATTTTCTCCAAAAGTTTCCTAAATCTAGATTAGAGTATTCCAGTGTATTTCTAGGTTTATTAAAAATTAAAAAAAAATTTTTTTTTAATTTTCAATTTAGATTAACTAATTAAAGGAAAACTAATTTTTGGATAGATCAACTAGATCATCAATAAGTTGATTTTTGTTTTTTTTTTTAATAAAAGAGAGAGAGAAACATCACTTAATTATCAATACAATTAAATAATGTAATGTATATGAAAGAAGTTTCATTGAATATGATCTTGTCAATTCATGATAATATATAGAACAATTAGATCCTCATTAGGCTTTACTCTATTATTTATATGCATATACGAAATGATCAAAACCAATCAAGGTAGTTTCTGAGTCAATGATGATAACAATGGAATAGATTATATAAATAAGTGAAAAGTACAAATTGATAGTATGATGACAAGTGTACTAGTTTTGATAAGAATAATAAAGGCTCGATTCAATGTTACGTAATGGGAAATAGATTAATGATTAGAAACAATTCAGACACTAAAATAGCATTCATAAAAACCATAAGATTACGTAATGAGAAGTGTTCAGATAATTGGACCGTGAATCGTATATTTTCAGAATGGGTTTTGTGGAGAGTTTTAGAAATCTCACAGGTTGAAATCATGAGTCGATTGAAGCTAGACCTGGAGTTCTAGCGAGAAGCCGTTACCAGTGGAGTTCAACCAGGTCTGTTGTGAGATAGTAACTCACTGAAGATAATGGTGTACGGTGGCGCAACTTCGTGGATTGGTTGAAGTTAGACATTAACACCGTTGGATGCCGGCTCAGTGGTCTGGTGGTTAAGTGCTTGCGCGCGAAGCCAGTAGGTCCTGGGTTCGATCCCCGCGTGGTGCGGGATCGTGGATGCGCACTGCTGAGGAGTCCCATACTAGGATGAAACGGCCGTCCAGTGCTTCCAGGTTTTCCATGGTGTTCTAGCTTCAATCGACTCATGATTTCAACCTGTGAAATCGTATATTTGATCTCAAATAAAATAAAATGGAAGAAGGGGGTAGAGAGAGAAATACTAATAAACGAAGAGAAAGTGTGGAAAGTAATAAAGCCATAAATAAAATCATTCATCAAGGCCAAGGGAGATATAAGGGTGTTACAAATTACTTATGAACACAATGACTTGGATTGTTGGCTCGAATTCCTATAGTTCCTGCTACGTGCAACTGACGAGATCGAATACCATAAGGAAAACTATTAAGAATACGATAAATGACTTTAAACGACTTATTTCTGTCTACTACATGACTGGTGTCGATCAAGTTTGATAGAATGGAACTGCATATTGACTTGATAGCACCTTTTCCTAATCACGAAAGAAGGTGTTCACTAACTCTTTGGTTCAGTTATCTGGTAGTGTACCCAATATGATGTATCAAATCAAATTTTTGTTGTTGTTGAAATTACTTTTCCATTGAAAAACCCAAAAAAGTGTTTAAATCGAAGGATTCTTTTTTGTAATGTGGATTTGGATTTTTAGAACCGAGTTTATATTGGTAGTTAGTAATTAATTATGTAATTTGTTCTGTTGAAATGAGTGTTAGCTATTTTTGAGTTGTATTTATTTATGAAGACATATATTCTTTCTTCTAAACAAAAATAAGCGTTTTGAAACAATGTGAATAAGATGTGTTATAGAATTTATCATTTCGCTATAGATTCAGATTGTTTCGGAATGTTCACAAACTATTTGATGAAATAATAATTTTGCATTTTTACGTTGTATTGTTAAAAACTAGAAGGAACTCAACACTTAATTTATCTTAGTATGGGGATTCCACTATCCATTGCTATTCGTGATATTTATCTTACACCAGATATGAATAATCTCTACCAGTCACAATGTTAAGCACTCATTATAAGACCTGAAAGGTCCTCATTATGATCATAGATGAGCAGTACCGAGGATTCTCATATTAGGACGAAGTACATTTCCTGTGTTATCTGCTTCTCAATCTTTATCTAACAAAGGCTACTTTGTTCTATGTAAAGTTGAATTTAACAAGTTTTACAGCCCTCACTATAACAAGAAATGATAGTCATTTGCTTATTGTTGACTATGTTGAAACCCAATATGTTATACAAAGAGCACGACACTGCAAAGTAATTATATTGAAATTCAGTGGTTTTCAAATTCAATATTTAATCAGTTCACATTTTGGCACCACAACTATTCAATATCAATACGACTTACTGTCTCACCTCTAGTTTATTTGATTTAACAAGTCAAAACATTTCAAATATAGAAGAAATGGGGTAGATATGATATCAACGATATTGGAAGATGACTAAACCATATCACAAATCGGTTTAAGTTAAAAATCTTCACTATTTAATCTCTGCTTAGTGGTTCAAATATATCGTCTCGGGTTTGATCCAGTTTAAATAGGTGTAAACTATCTATTATCTACAGATTTTGTCCATCCGAAGTCAGCCCGCGATAAAAAAAAGATCTTTGGATTGATAAGTCTTGTACTTGAATCCATAGACACAAAATTCTCACTTGTATCTTAATTCCCAGAAGTCTTCAACATATGAACGCCGAACAAAAGTCAACAGGCGAGAAGTATGAATGGATCTATACATTAAACGTTAGACTGAGGATAATAAGGGAGAGTATTTATAGAATTGTATAACCTAGAGGTTGTAGAATCTCCTGAAAAACATACTAAAATTTCTAACAGGTTCAATAATCAAACAATCAAAATAAGAGAAGCTTAATCAGTTATTTTCTAGGTTTATCTCTGTAGTTTGTTTAAGGCACTAGTTAGTTGCAGGTTTTACCTCCTGATTTCCTGAAACTTTTTCCAGGGAAAATAGATATAGACATCGATTATTTTTAGATCACTGTTGCGGCTGGTATTTATTACTACTCTACTTCATGAAAAACAATTACTGATGAATTTAACTTTTGTTATATCTTACGGATTTTTATTTTACAGCAAATACTCAAATCATTCCATCATATTCGCTGAATACTAATATTATGAGAAGTGATACAAATAAAACTACAACAGATGAAGATAAGAAATCTAACAATTCATCAGAGGTAATTACGGTTAGTTTAACGCTGTATAATCCATATCTTATGAATCATTACAAGAAAGTATTTTGTTCACATCAAATTACTGATGGTATGTAGTTTGTTCAGCTTAAAATTATTATTATTTATTATTTAAACACAAACATTGGTACAAAGAGGCACCAAATAGATATGAACCACGAAAATCACTCGATTTATGTGAGGGCTGGGATACTGCTCGGGTGCCCTAACCAAAGCACGTGGCGTTCTTAGGGGGCTACACCCTGAGCCCTCAATCTAAAGGTCTAATCCACAAGGCAGTGGAGTAAAGTCAGGAGATGCAGTCCCATGGTAGCCGGTGACCAACGATTGGTTCATACGTCATTTGTTTCATCAGGATACTGAAGCCTATATGCACCATTGGTTTATAATCAGGGTTTTCCAACTCCCATAGATGGATTCTCCGTGTTCTTATTCAGGAAGATATATATGTTGATAAGTATTGTAATAGGATTATTTCGTAATGATGGTTGTGAAAAATGCTTTTTTGTCTTAAGTCGATCATCAAATATAGTTGAATTAATTAAGAACAATAGATTATTTAATGGTTTGACTAGTTATTGAGAAAAGGAAATAACAAAAAATGTTGACAAAAATATTATTTAATTCTATTCGGTTTGTCATCTGTTATCTTAACACAGAGATACACACATGTAATCATTTTCGATATACGTATTTTGGGTTAACTTCTTTTTGTGCTGATTTTGTTACAACATTCTTGACTTTATTCGAATTTTGTTATTTATTACACTTGTGATAGTCAATCTAAGTGACTTAATATAGATTGCATTATATAAAACTAAGTGATGTGGGTCTAAATTTCACATAAATATTGCAGGTTTATGGTAGTAACAGGTGCTGAGGGCACAAAACCTTGATTTAGAATTACTTTCGACTAACTATGACCATTAGGCATAATAATTAGTAATTGGATAGTCATTAATGAATGATTTTCAAAACGAAGCTTTTATAGCTCTGATTAGAAACTATGATTGATTGAGGAAGGAACATTAACTCACTGAATAAATTAAGTGAAATGGGTAGTATGTAACACCAATCAGAAGTGAAAAGCCCGGCAGCAGACGTCTGGGGAGATCGAATGTAAGAGAATGGGGACTGAGAACAACTGTTACGGCAATGAAGGAACGATGAAGTTTGAGACAATTAATGGAGGATTCTCAAATGAAGTGTTGAACGTATGATTTACACATTTGACCAAAGAACGCTGTAATTTTGTACTAAAATAGATTGGTTGTCCCCCACTTGAGCACTTGTTCATTAAAAGTTCATTCTCCTACTCGAAATGCTCTCATACGGCAACGTGTATATAAATACTTCCAAGTATCTTCTACTGATTACATTCTCGTGGTGGGGCTGCCTTGCAAAATAGGCCAATGGGTGAAGGTTTTGGGAAGTGGCCTGCTAAGAAAACCACTTGCTTCGGCTTAGGCGCCCAGGCAGTATTCCAGCCCGCATATAAACTGAATGGCTTGTGTGGCGCATTTATATTTTGATGCTTCATTATACCAACATTTATGCCTTTAAATACATTAATGAAAATAAACATTTGAAAATAAATTTCGTGACAGTAAAAGATTATGAATTTACCTTTCAGTTTTCTTTTAATTTTAAGATTCGTGTCGTAACATCCATTGTGTGACACCTTTTTAAGATTTATGCAATTTGAAGCATCATTGAATACCCTGAGTTGAAAGAATAGAGGATTCAAGTAGTTAACTAAGTATCGTCTAGTTTTTTCTCTCGAGATTGATCAGTTTTCCGAGCTTGATGTTCTAATCCCGTAGCTTTCATTATCATCTTATGCGAAATCTTCAGTGCCTACTTCCTGTAGATATAGCACTTATACAATAGCTGGGATGTTTACTTCTACATTAAGCAGTATTGGAATTTAGGACACGCGTTTTGGAACCTATAATCTGAGAGTACCTGCATCTCAATGTTGAATTCCATGTTGAAAATTAAATCTTTTCACATCAGAAAATAAATTTTTATCGATCAAAGTGCTAAGTTAAGGTAACAATTGACACTTTCAACGAGTGTGTGGGGGCCTCTGGACAAACTAATTTATTCATTCTTCTCAAGCTATATTTTGACCTTTTCACTTGTTCGCTAATTAACCCTAACTATTTTTAGATGATCGTATCTGTGTTAATTACTTACCTTACTCATTATGTATCTGTAACATATTTTTGTTTGGCTATAAATTTCAATTCACTCTTGGTTAAATCGAGTTAAATCACTTGTCTTCTCCACAGCGCACCATTTCGTTTTGCTTCACTCTTTTCTCCCCGCTTCCTTTGCTTCGTTTCTCTGATTGTCTGTCTGGATCAATAATTGTACGAAATATATGTATTCGGAATCCAATCTAGTATTTGACTTATTTAATTCTGTTACTCACTAACACGATTTAAGTCGATGACTATATTCGAGCGTTGGAGGTATGTATTTTTCAATAGTGTATTGGAGCTTGAAGTGGTAGGTATTGGGTTCGAGTTTCAATATGAACATCAATAGTGTGACATAGATACAAACAGTTTAATACTCCCAAATAGAATGGAATATAAGCTTCTCTGGTTCTATGAAAAGCCATGACCAGTGGTTTCCAATTCGTGTCGTGTGTGAGACAGCTATACACCGTAGGTTATGGATGAAGGGTCGTTCAAGATTATGGATTGACATTAGAACTGTTGGATGCCGGCACAGTGGTCTAGGGGTCGGGTGTTTCCACGCGAAACAGATCTCGGGTTCGGTTTGCCGTTGTGATGTCATGGATGGCAACTTCTGGGAAGTCCTACATTAGGATGAGGTGTCTTTCCAGTGTTTCCAGATCGACTGTGAATACACTACAATTTTCACAAATCCTACGTACTAATAACTTTGTAAATCAGTTAGACTTATATATTCATAGGTTTGCTTCATTTTTAACCTATCTATACTTTAATCGAATAGATCGATCAACAATCTCATCCCTTGTCTCATGATCATCACCGAGATCAGTATTATTCACGTTATTATGAAAATTATTTTAACAAGCATCCACAATCACGTCCTGTAAGTATCGCTTTGCCAGTTGACAAGGATAGAAATGATGAAATTACATCTCCACCGTATAATCAATTACAAACTAATTGTCAGCTTAATCAGAATAGCACTCTGAAAACTAAAGAATTTGATCATTTGACTTTTGATGATCGTCCAGGTAAATATATTTTTCATATATAAAAGAAATATTATTCATATATAGTCAATGTTGGTTGATAGTTTTAAAACTTTACATGATAAATTTTTATTTACACACTGTATTTTTGTGTTATCATGAAGATTGCAAAGAAACTGAATAAATTTCACAGATTGAAATCATGAGTCAGTTGAAGCTAGACCACCATTGAAAACCTGGAAGCACTGGACGGCCGTTTCGTCCTAGTATGGGACTCCTCAGCAGTGCGCATTCACGATCCCGCACCACGCGGGGCTCGAACCCAGGGAAAACTCCCGAAGTTCTAGTGAGAAGCCGTTACCAGTGGAGTTCAACCAGGTCTGTTGTGAGATAGTAACTCACTGAAGACAATGGTGTACGGTGGCGCAACTTCGTGGATTGGTTGAAGTTAGACATTAACACCGTTAGATGCCGTCTCAGTGGTCTAGTGGTTAAGTGCTCGCGCGCGAAGCCAGTAGGTCCTGGGTTCGATCCCCGCGTGGTGCGGGGCCGTGGATGCGCACTGCTGAGGAGTCCCATACTAGGATGAAACGGCCGTCCAGTGCTTCCAGGTTATCTATGGTGTTCTAGCTTCAACTGACTCATGATTTCAATCTGTGAAATTTCTAAAATCTCCACAAAACCCATTCTGATAAACTGAATAAATACTGGCATAACTAATAGTTGTATTTACTTTAAGTTAGTCATTTGTTACATTTCATGTTAACACAAGGTGAGATGGATTTTAAAAGATAAGAAATAAAAGAGAGGAATTGATTTGAGCTCCATCGAAAAATTAATTTTATAATATATTTCATGAAGTTACCTTAAATCTCTTTGCATACTTATGTATCATAAAATATCTGTCTGTAAAACAGTTGACTGATTATTGTTAAATTTCAACTAAGAAATGTCTTGTAGTGACTGTGCTTCGTTAACCAATCACCCTCATAACCGTTACCATATAATCCTCAACGGTATTTGAAATCAGAAGGCAAAGAGAAGCAGTGACTACAATTTTATTAGCAGATAACTCAGATCACAGAGCAGTGAGGCGAATTAGTGAGTTGGCGAACAGAGAGTGTGTGTAGAGTGTAAATGTACATGTATATATATGGGAAAATGAATAGATCATCGAATCAATTAAGCAGCTAATAATAAAGCTAGCAGAATGAATATGTGAGTAGCTGGTAAGTAATGTTCAAGCATGCATATTTCATACAAGTACGATAATAATAAAGGTACAATAAATTGTTATAGTGCGGATGACTTTGTCCGCTAAATAAGTTAGCAGAAGGGCTTAACTGAGTTAAATGAGAATAAACTCAATTGCATGTGAGGTGCTATAATGTTGGCTTGTTCTGTTCTTTCGATGTTTACGTCCCATAGTTTATGCGAGGTAAATTGTTGTGGAACTTTAGTATTCAACTTTATACGAATTCATTCTAATGTACTTCTGCCTTGTTCTTTCATTGAATTAACCGAGAAGAAAATCAAGTGTAAATTGGATGCTTTCTATTTGATAAAATAGTACTGATTATTATTTTTTGTGTGGATTTTAAACATGTACTCACAACCATATTTAAACCAGGTAAAATACCTCATTTACTAGCCTTATAAATAGTCTTCTGTAGCCTAGGCAATGTAGCATTATCTTTTTATTTTTCGAAATTTTGAGAAAATATTATTAAAAATAATTTGGAGAAATAAGTAAATATATATGAAATTTCGAAAATCTCCACAAACCCCTTCTGATAATAATCATCTGCTCACTAGTGACTGGCTTCAAGAGATCCTCCTGGAGTTCTAGTGAGAAGCCGTTACCAGTAGAGTTCAACCAGGTCTGTTGTGAGATATCAACTCACTGAAGATAATGGTATATGGTGGCGCAACTTCAAGGATTGGTTGAAGTAAGATATTAACACCATTGGATGCCGGCCGGCTCAGTGGTCTAATGGTTAAGTGCTCGCGCGCGAAGCCAGTAGGTCCTGGGTTCGAATCCCGCGGGGGGCGGGTTCGTGGATGCACAATGCTGTTTCGTCCCATACTAGGACGAAACGGCCGTCCAGTGCTTCCAGGTTTTCCATGGTGTTCTAGCTTCAATTGACTGATGATTTCAGTCTGTGAAATTTCTAAAATCTCCACAAACCCCTTCTGAAAATAAGTAAGTAATAGAATAACTAAAAACCTTTAGAATACAGCTATATTAATTTTCAAATTTTATCAAGTAAGTTATTATTTTATAGTGTATAATATTTCTAATAAGTATAGTTATTCTCATAGAACACATGTTTACTTACATTTTCAACTTTAGAACCGACTTACCTTAATGCTGCTTTAAATGCATTTGGTTATGGTTGTAAACCAGATTGGAAACATTTTTGTGTTTCCCCATCAGCTAGACGTTTGGCTCATGCAAGACAGTCAATGAAAGTAAAACAAATTGAAGGTGATTCATGTAACACAACTTTATCTAACAATAATACAGAATATGATGAAATTTCAAACAATAAAAAAATGGATTATGATGATCATGAAAATGAGAATAAAATAACTAATGAGAAATGTACTGATAGTAAACTTAAACAAACTATTGAATATTCATGTGATGTAAGTAAGTGTGAAAGAAAGTTATTGACAGTATTAATTTATTTTTGTATTATTTATTTGAATCATCCCATTGATGTTTACGTCTGAAATTGATCAGTCTCTTGTTGGCGTATGTGCATATTGTGCGTATTGCCTCAATATTACCTTAAGCAAAAGTGGATAATGGTTAGCAGTAGAATCTAGAACGCGCATTTCATCGTATTTGGGACTCGTCAGCTGAATGTACCTGCATTCCAGAGTTAATTTTTACCCTAGGACTCGAAACCAGTATCGTCTGTTTCAAAGACCATCAAGTTATCCACCTAGCTACTGAGTCCTGATAGCCACTAGCTTGTGAAATATTATCGACAATATTGTTTTTTTATGATCTACTTTTAGGTCGAAATATCTTGTTATAATACTTAGTCTTTCATGAGATATTTAGTGGGAAAACCTGAGTTTATATAGTTCTTTTCAGAAATTTTTTATCAACAATTCAGTTACATTGTTCAATAAAAGTTTATAATTTTTATGAGGTGAATGAGCTAACCGAAAATAAGAATATACATTCAGGTTTTCTTTTTATATCCCTACATAAATTTGAAAATGATAACTTAATCGTTGACCACTGTATTGTAAGTTTAAAGTTCGTTCAAACTACTTTATTTAAACAAATGGGTACTGTGGTGTTTGCTACTGATGTCGATAGATATAAGTAGGATGTATCATTAATCGAAAGTGGAATGTTTGGTGGTAGAAGGTTGAGGAAATCGAAGAAAAGTAAATAAGAACAAAGAGTAATTGGTGTGGAGACGAAAGAACAACAAAGTCTAACACAATTTATTGACATTTCGCAAATGAAATATCTACTGTATGATTCTCAGCTTTTATGAAGATATACTGTTATGTTTAACTAAGATACACTTGGTTGTCCGCGCCTTTGTTCTTGTTCATAACAGTATAGTTGTTAGCTTGTAGAAAAAAATGTATAGCTTAAAGCTGAGTGAATAAAATTATAATCTTGTTTAATGAGTTAGACTGACATTTGTCAACTGCTCTAATTCAAATAATTTTTAAATTAATTATGTTTTCTGAAATATCATATTGTTGCTAAGCATTATACTTACGTGAACTTGAACGTACCTAGCAGTATCGTATTTATTGAAATGCTAAATAGCTTATCACTACTGTTACGAATAAGGATTTGTTGGTTTAACTCCGCGGCGGCCTATGCTGCATTAGGAGTAACAGGCATAAGTAAGTAAGTAATTTATTGGTTCGATGATACTGATGTGATGAAGCTGAGAAATGATTTCTCACGATATGGGATTATTAATTCAAACACCTTAATAAAATTATATGAAATAGACGAACAGGATTTCTTTTAATAAAGCAACATGTTTATTTACAAATTGGTAGATGAGTGTCAGTAGACTTAGGACCTAGCAATCACGCTTAATTCTCGTTGAAGAGAGATGGGTTTGAATTAATCAACAGTTTGAAATAAAGGGATGAAACTATGATTATTCATGATCTAGTACTCTCTTTATCAAACCTAAATATAAGATTTAGTTATTTATACCAGGTGATTGGCATTTTTCATTTCATTTGACTGAATGATAACTTAAAAACAAATACTGATTGAACTAAATGACTTCATTTTGTTTGATTGACCACAAGTAGTCTTATAGGTATGTTCCAAAGGTATAGCATGTATCTATATCAAAAGCTTCTAGTTCCTTACCAAGTGAAGCATGCTGTCAAATTTGACACAGGATTGAGTCATTAATAGTTCCAAATTATATTTTGAAACGCAGTTTATAACTTAGAAAGCCAAACAAAAGAAAAGTCAAATGAGAAAACAGTTAAAACAATAGGAAACTAGGGTGAGTTATGTAGAGCTCAAATTCTGTTAAAGGTTTGTTAATTGCTGACATATCTGGCGAGAAGTCCAACACCATAGATATGTGTGTATTTGTGTCGACCTCTAAGATGCCTCTCTCTCTCCATATATATATAAACCATTTCAGGTTTTATCTTTAAAATGACGTAAAATGTTATTAATATCCTAACAGAAAAGAATAATTATTTCTGTTATTTTTTTATTTTTAAAAAAGTAACCAACATTTCTTTTTATCATTAATTCATATTAACCACTAAATCAATATTGTCTACTTATTTCAATTGTCGCCATAAATATCGACATCTACTGATTACTATGACGTTTTTACCCGTATATATATATATATATATATATTTTGTCTCCAACTGTGATATTGCTGAGTATAGAAAAAATATTAAACAAATTTATTCATTACTTATTATACTATACATTGTATTTTTGTTCAAACATGTAAATCATATAGATTTTACGAATTCCATTTTATTGTGAAGGGTTAAAAATGTACTAGTTTGACTTTTTTATTCCAATCTCGTTTAAAATAATGTTTTAATTAAAAAAGAAGGATTATTAGTTATCTCAATAGTTGAAATCATCAGTCAATTGAATCTAGACCACCACGGAAAATCTGGAAGCACTGGACGACATTTTCGTTCTAGTATGGGACTCCTCAGCAGTGCGCATCCACGATCCCACCCCCCTCCGTGAGATTCGAACCCAGAAACTATCAGTCTTGCACGCGAGCGCTCAACCATTAGACCACTGAGCCGGTATCCAACGGTGTTAATGCCTAAGATTCGATTATTTCAGAAAATCCTGTATATTAATAATAATTGTAGGCCTAAAGCTAACTGATTTCACGAGATAATGTTTGAATCTTCAGTAAGGAACCTTGATCAGTGAAGTTCAATCATACCAGGTGTGAGCTAGTTACTTACCATTTGGATTGAAAGAAGAATGTATATCATGGAGAATTGATTGACGTTTAAAATATATTCCAAAATATATCAACTTGATGACCTTAAGTTTAAGAACCTACCATGAGACACAAAGTTCATGGGTTTAATTCTTAGTCAATTCCTTTAGTACCCAATCCTGAATAGCTAGGTAGTGTTTCTTAGTTTTCAATAATCGTTTAGCTAAAGCCAGTCTGTGATAGAAATTGTAAAATGTAACTCACTCTACAAAGTTACTATATACTGATAAAAAACTGTTAGTATTGGTCAGTTATTTATATAGATTAACTAATACAGAAATAACGGAAGTTTAGTTTTAATGTATATTATAAATTAAAAAGAGCTTCCTAATTCCTCCACTTAATCTATCCATCTTCAAAGTTTGAAATAAGGTAAATATAAAAATATAAAAGAAAACCAACCGATAAGTAGGCTGGATAGTCTATTTAATTGAATTAATATATTTTAAAGTAACAAATGACTTTCATCAGAAGTACAAAGAAAAAAAATTAGTAAGCATATAAATAACTGTGAAGATGTATTAAAACAAATCATTTTGTTTATATGATAATGAATTATTAACAAATTTAGTGTAGGCCTATGAACTAAAAAAAAACATCGTATCAATCCATGAAATCATTGATAGTTAACTTGTATAATAACTGTTAATATGTTCATATATTTTAATCACAATCTTAAAAAATCTGTAAGAAAGTTATGAAATCCAAACTACTTTATATACTCTGTGTAGGATCGTGGAGATTGTTGACTTTTGATTAAGATGATGAATTGACCAATGTTAGACCATTATTAAAAACCTAAAAGTACTGGACAACCGTTTTATTCTAGTATGACACTTCCTAACAGTGTGCATCTACCATCTCGCACCCGGATTTGAGGCATTTATCAACCGAAGACAGAAGATGGTTACACAATATTGGAGACTGGTTGAAGTTAATTATTAACATCAATGAATGCCAGTTCATTAATCTAGATGTAAAATGTTCACATGAGAGATAGACAGTCTCGGATTCGAGTCCTGCATGCATGATCATAGATACGCATTGATGAAGGATCTTATCCTTTTTATTCATTGATTAACTTAGATAGAAATAATTCTAAATCATCAAGTCTTTGCTCCTTTGTTGAACTTTGTTATGGATACATTTTCTATTCTATTTTCTGTGAGTTTAATTATCATAGATTTAATCTAAAATGTAAACAATTTTTATTTTTCATATATAAATAATATCAAAGTAAATATACACAAAGACACATTGTTTATGGATCATATCAGGTAGACAAATAAATCATTTGAATGACAGTATATACTTCACTAAATCATATCTCTTCAATTTTGTATTATTTCTTCTGTTTTGATTTTCATTCCATGATCTTTTCTTCATCTAATAATGTGTGATTAAGTACATTCATAGATTGAATAAAAGGAACACCATATTTAGTAGTTTGATTTAATGATAAATACATCATTTGTATATCATTCATTAATTGTCACTCTTGCAAACGTCATCGTTCTTTCATTTCTATTGTCATTACAATTATTCTCTCTTTTATATTACTGTACTTCTCATTCGTTTGATGCCAAGGCATTCCCTTTTCTGAGTTATGTCATATACTACTTATATCTGTCAACTTAAGTAGCATTCATCATATATACACCAATTTTAAGAGATATTTTCTGGTTGAAATAAATAAAGTATCAGCATTCTTTAAAAGTAATTTACTTAAAAAGGTGTGATTCATAAATGATTTTGATTAAAAATTGTAATGTGATACGTAAGATCAGATGTGATGTCATTTTAGAGTATGAAGTTATTTAAAGGATTCACACCATAATAGTTATAAATCCTGTAATTATAGAATTATCTTGAACAATAAGTGTTTTTTTTAAAACGCATAAATGCTTTATAGAGATGGGATGGACACAACTTCATACATGTTTTGAAATCATAGATGTCACATTCAAGTCATGCAAGGTGCATGCTGTTGGTTCACAAGACAGTTTACCTAATCATTTATAACTGGAAAAAAGGTAAAGAAACGAAAAAAAAACTATTGTGGTCAGTTTTTCCTTGTATGTGTTGTTGTTTGTAGCATAACGTACTGATTTAAATTGGTTTTCTAAAGTAACCCATTATTTTATA